CGGTACTAAGTGGGCTGCCTTTAATTAACCGGACGTTATTTAATTCTTTGCCGTCGATATATTCTACGATAGCCGCGTCGTTATTTTTCTTTTATAATCGACATTATTATTCTTCACTTTTCTGTATACCGAGTGTCATTTAAATCCCATAGACGCCTAATAAAATCATATCGTCGGGCCAATAAAATATTTATAGAATCGTTTATGGAGCGTGCAGCAACCCCTATCTCACCCTTGGTCCCCAGCGGTTACACGATATTTACCCTCGCCACTCCCTGGCTCTAAGGGTTTTGTGTTAACCGTATGCTATTAACGTGGCGTATTTTATTTTGCCCTTTCACCCTCGATGTACGCTCACTATAGAGATTTAGGAATATTTTTAATCTTGTGGTACGATTCATTTTCTTTTATTTCGACATTTTTGTTTTTTCTATTATATATGTATATACGTGTACGAAAATAGATATCACAATTTATCTCGTACGGTAACGAGGAATTCAGAGATTTTAACACGAGGAGGGTACCGGTACGGGACCCTATATGAATCCCGCACAGCTGGACCCTTTTTGCGCAGCTGGTCTTCGCAATTTTCCAAGGGTAGGTCCCGGCAGTCCCATCGAGCGCAGTCAATAAATAGGGGCCTTAATCGTACGCTCTATCATTTTTCGTATGCGTACGTGTATGCCAGTATACGATCCCAAGTCCCGACTCGACTCTCTTTTGATTTACCAATCGAATTCGTTCAGGGGGCCTTATTTCAAGTACACGCGACTGCATTAAACAGTTGCTGTACTTCATAGGTTTAGGTCCCTTTTACTATAATTGATACCTAATAGAGTTTAATGTGATTTTTTATAGCTACCTAACCCTTCTTACAGTTAGTTATGCTTTGTGTATATATATATACTTTTTCATATATATATGTATGGAAAATAAAAGCAAGAGAGAATAACGAAGAAGAAGAAGAAGAAGACAATGATTTAGGTATTCAGTGAAGATCGACAACGGTGCAGATGCGACCATGATGACCCCGGATCAGGCACCGATCGTCAGATCGATAAGGACTCAAGAGACGTCCAGGTATCCATTAGAGAGTTAACGCCTCTATTAGTCGAGACTAACGTCCACCCACGCCACCTTGAAAGAGGCGAATGCTTCTCACATGAAATTTCTATGAAGATCGATAACACGAAATAGCAATTTGAATATCGATTTTCGAAAATTACAAAAAAACCACGCAATAATCTGTCGACAGCTAATAAAATGGATAAATATATAGGTGGATAGAAAAAAAAAAAAAATTTCTAAAAATACCATTGGTATTCTACGCCATTATTTTCACTCGTAAATATACGTCATCTAGCATCTCTTGGATATTCTTAGAAAAATATAAAATCTAATTTATGTAAATCCTCAGGATGCTCGTTCGAGAGATCTTAAAACTGAGAAGTAACATTGGATTCTGCGAATCCACTAAGATCTGGCATATCTTTTTGGGGGGGATCCTGGACCTGATCCGTGAGTCACTTGAAAATGACTTTATACGTGGGCTCAAGTAGTTGCTATTTTTATTTTCACTTTTCAAATTGATTAAACGCGCAAGAGGCTGCGCCAAGAGATCCTGGACCAGGAGGATACAAGCTTTCGGAAGTCCTTAAGGGTTTGTTTTGCTTATCTGAGACAAATTTGCTGTCTTGTAAGCGAGACCTAAGGGTCCTTTTGACAAACTATAGGGCTGTGGGGATAGACCCATGGTGCAGCTACAACGCGTTTTGTCTTTTTCTCTTTTTCTTTTGCTCCTCGTCTCTTCCATTTGGAAACCCTGCAAGGAAACCCCTATGGCCCTATAAAGGCCGACCAACTTTTTTTTCCCTACGCGTGGCTCTTCGGTCAGTGTTTTTTGTCTTTTTTTCTTTTTTTTTTTATTACCCACGTGAAACACGACCAGAGCACGGATTCTGATGTCACGCCGTTATACGGGACCCCAGGAAATTTTTGACACTTATTTATTTGTTTATGGTCCATAGAGCCCTTTATGGGTATGGCTGAAGTAAATGTTGACAAAAATAAAAGATTACTCGGTCAGTGATAACATCCTGCTTTTACTTATCGGTAGCAATGCGTTATTGATCCAGGTGAGAACCGGTACTATTTACGAGGTTAAAAACAAATGAGTCACCCGTTAGGATGAGTTATAATATATCTGAGTGGATACTTGAAAATAAGAGGAATCGACCGAATGACTGGGTGTACCCTGGGCTATCATTTGTTTGAGGAAGGGATGTCAGGGATGAGTCAGTGAGATAGCCCTATTTCTGTAAACAAGGGAAAAATTGAAATTCGCCAATGGGGAGAAATCGCTATGAAAAATAATTATTTTTCAACGAAATAATTAATTACGTATTTTCGAACGGCGACAATTAATTATCCTTATCGAGTACAATTATATGGATCGTTTGTCCGTCCCAGAAATGGTTGGTCCTTCATGGAGTGATAAATAAATCACTAGATCTAACTGGATGAACTTTCCGGTCTCCGAATCCCCTAGGGTAGTTCTCGTATTACCGTTGGTACTAATCAGTCCTATCTTATAGCCACACCCTTAACCCTCGACCCTTAGCTTCGGGATATTCCGGGGATTTCCGGCACTTCCTTCCGAGACGCATCGTATACCCAACAGTAATAGCGTCTAATGCGTTACCGACCGAACGACGTCGGTGCGGCGTCCCGACGCCTCAACCAAAACGTTAACGAACCATCGTAACGCTTCCTTGGAATCTCGCCCTTTTACATACTTTTCACCCTTACTTCACTGTCCAGCACGTGCGTGAGACACGCGAGCTTTCTTTCCGCGTTAATGGGACCGCAGGGGTAGTACGTAGGGGGTGCTATTTAATTTTTTTCTCTTCGTCCCTCTGACGTAAATCCTCCATCTGATCGTACACCCCCATTGTAAGATACGAAACCAGAAACGCGACAAACCTGCCCCCTGTGTCGATTAAAAAAAATACTCCATTAGCAAGATCATTAGGGATGTTTGTAAGAAATAAAAATGCAAAAAAAATTTTTTTCAATTCACAAAATCAAAATTTTAAAAATTCATCATTTTTTCCCCATTTTTTTTTATCTACCATTTATCATTTATTTTTTTGCCAAATTTCATTTTCGCAATAAATTTCACGTTTCCCGGCTAAATATCTGGGGTATATCAAGGGCAGTTAAAGAAAATCGACGTAAAAGGGAACGAGCGAAACGGAAGTAAATCATGTTCCAGGGACTGCGTCATGCGATGACAAATGAGCAAGGTGACGCCATCACGCAAGAAGTGGCAGTGACATCTGATAACGACAGTAATCGCATTAGAGAACCCTTCGAGTTATCCTTTCCGATGGGGTGGAGGGTAGTAAGGAGAGAAAGGGGTGGGCTCTTTAACGACGTCTGGTATACCACCCCTTAGAAATGGAAATAAAAGAAAAGCTTCCCCAACCTCGACCAGCATATACATACACGGCATATACAGGCAGTAACCATGACGTAAAGAATGAATCGTTTGCATTGGAGCTCGCATAAAGATCCACCTGCTATTTCGTAGACCGTTAAAAAGATCACGTGAAATAATAAAACCAACAAGGAACACCTTTGGTGCGCGTTAACGCGTACAGAGGCGCAATCTGGCGAAGGAAAGAGAAAAGCAAAAAGAGAAATTTCAACCCTCGAGTAAAACGACCCTTCCGTGACAATGCGACATTTTATTATTAAAGTCGAGTGTCGCCGCGGCGAATCAAGTACTCGAGGCGCGACGCCGCGACGCGTCGACGCACGACGCCCGTCGACTGCCATTACGTTTTAAAATGCTGATGCAGGACGCCACCGCGTCATTGTCGACGGCCTCTTCGGGTCGCGCGAACACCGAGCGCATTTCACGTGGCCACGCTGCCTCGCGTATCGCCATTCAAACTTAACGTTTGGACCTTCCTCGCTATAATTATGTAACGCTGTCAATGGCGAATGGGGAGGTTAGCTAGGATAAAGAGTAATTAAACGCTAGCCAGAAAGAAGTGCACAGAGCCCTATGGAAATTTACCCTCGTGAGGAAGAGAGCCCGTTACACGTGGTACGAGGGTTCGAATCCCGTGTAGGTCTTTTTTTTTTTTTTTTTTTTTTTTTTTTTTTTTTTTTTTTTTTAATGGTTACCCCTATGTACATTTTTGCATGTGCATAATCATTTTTTTTATACACAAAAAATTGCCAATTACTCACCGAGTCTTTTTTACCGTGTCTATTGTCATCCTTTCGATACTCTAACCGATACCAATTATAGTCGACCTAGACCTAAAATGCTTTGGGGTATCTTTCTCGTCTCTGTGCTATCCTGCGATATGGCGCTTTGTGTCTAATTAAGATTACGTGTTAATGAGAAAGCGAATGGGTAATTGTATGTATATACGTTACTACTGTTACGAGACACGCGATCCAAGATCGTGTCGAGATTAGAAAGGCCAACGCGTGAACTGGCAAACTGTTACACCATGGCTTTTCGACTGGTAGCATCGTCTTGAATTAATGTGGAAGGTGAACCGTGAACCTGGCAACCCTTTTCCGCGAGGTCAAAATATTTCCCGTCAACCCTTAAGAGGTACGAAATGCTTATATAACCGTAGTTCATTTACCTGGAGATTTCGAGTATCAAACTAACGAGAACCTGTTAAACTAATGAACTCTTAGGCGCTAACCTCGACACCCAGTGACACGATGTGCTGATTAAGAAATATCCTTTCACTTGGAGTGTAGCAAGGATCGGTAATGGATGAGAATTTAGAAATTTTTTTTTCGAAATTCGTTCAGACAGTTGGATACAAAAATTTTTGCATTTTATCAGTGACCTTTGTCATTGAGCGATTATCGGCCTATGTCGAATATTTTTTGGATTAATCGAGATATTTTAATTATTTAATTAGGAGACGGTATAAATAATTGGTTGATGGTAATTATTCACTTACCATGCTCGTACGGATTCCGAGTAGCAGCCAGTCTCTGGATTCAACATTTTACGCTCGCTTTCCGACCTGAAAATGAAAAGTGTCGTTAAGCAATGTTATTTGTTTGGGAAATCAAAAAAAAAAAATTAAAAATCCATAAAAATTTTTTGATTTTTTTGAAAAAAAAATGTAGGCATCATCTTCTTTTCGGAAATATCTTTCGTTAATATTATTACGTCGTCGGTCCTAGAAACCCGTCATTATCGCTTCAACGAATGGAGCGAGTTTATGAATAATGACAAAGTGTCACAGCTAACGCGCTGTCACTAATGACAACGTAGAAGAAAAAAAAATGTAACACGCGTAAACATGACAACCTATCAATGCATTACTACATCAATATATAAACCAGACGATTTTGACTTGTTACGTATTATCTGTCTACGTAGATTTTTATTGGTTTCTCGTATACTCTAATTTTTTTTCTTCGCTTTTTCACATACACGACAATACAGTTGGTGCGTTCGTCATAACTCCCTTAATATAATGCAATTACATTTGATAAACATAAGTGATAAGAGATCCCATTGGACGATAGATTGACAAAGTGTTTTTTCTGAATACGAAATTTTTTTGTTAAAAAAAGCAAATATATCAAAAAAAAAATTTGGAAAAAATTTGTTCCCTAAGAAAATGCTTCACGATATTTCTTTTTCCTTTGATAAAGATGTTTAAACAATTAAAAAAATTGAGGTAATCGGATCATGAAAAAATTGGTTATATTTATTTTGTTACGTTTATCAGAATTGTCATTCCGCCTGTCACAGAGTCCATAACACGTGGGATCGCATGTGTCTTTACATTGTCTACTTTTATATAGACATATTGCATCTACATATACGTTTTCCAACTAGGTCAAAAATATAAGCAACAATCGACCTGACTCTACTACACAGATAGAGAAATCAGTTTATCGTGATTCAATGTTTGTATGTTTTGACAATGCCACTATCAACAGGGATGATTATGAGGGACATTAGTGGGTGGTTAGGATACGTGGAAAGGGAAGGGGGATCCGTGAGAACTCCATCTGTCCACATATGTACGCGTATACTACAGACCATATATATATATAGCTATAGCACCATGGGTATAGCGAATATAACGTACCGAAGGGGTGTCGAGTGCGTAGGGGTTGAAATCACTGTCCGCAAGCATTACGCATTCATGCGTGTCAGCTCGCGTGAGCTACGCACTGTGGGAATGTGCCTTTATGCCGATGTTAATTTCAGGGGCGGTAACGGGAATGTGATTTTTAGCTATTGCCATAGCGGACACAAGGGCTAATATGTCTAGGGTATTATTGCGTGAATTATGATCGTTACAATAGAGAGACGCGTATACCCTTCGACCGTGTATACACTACACGGTGAATCCATACGCAGGGGTCGCAGGTTCGATCCCGGGAGACGGCAACTTTTTTTTCTTAATAAAAATAATTTTCACGCGTAAATTAAAGTTTACGTAAAAGGTACTTTTTTACGTGTGAAATAATTTTTTTAAAATAATTACAAGTTTTTTTATGGTATGGTATTTCTATATCCGTAGGCTATCCTGTATAGCTAAGACAGTAGACAGGCGAGATCAGCCACCTTTAATGTTACTCTAATTGGTAATGAGCAAGTGGACGCTCGGTTGCACCACGTAACGACGATACTCCCGTAGAGGGGTACCCACTACGTCGAGGAAGGAGCCGCCCGAAGACAGGGGATTCGTCACGCGCTTCCTCGTTTAATGATAATCGTAAAAACCGTAGGGATTCTTCCTCGGCCGATTCAATTACTGTGGCATCCACGGGCCACCGAAGACGTCCAGTAATTTTCGACTTTTTGATACGTACGAGCGTCAAACTATTTTTCTTTTTTATTCTCCTTCGTACTTCTTACCACAGGGAACAAACATATCCTGTCCATCCGTATTTTCTTCTCCATTGTCTGTGGGACTATGGTGGATTGAAAAAAAAAAAAAAATTTATTCCCCACAAACTCGCGGTACGATTCGCAGCTGTCAATTATTATTATTATGCGTTCGGGTATTGACCAATGGCTATGCCTTAAGTAAATGGAGCGTGACCGTTCGATCGAGCGAATGTAATGGGAATTGGCGTAAGTGAATAAGTAACCGAGTGACTGGGCTGAGTAATGGTAAAAGAAAGAAGAATTCGGAGAAGGTATTACAAAAATTTTTTTTTTAAATGACAGTTTTGAAAAATATTTCTTGAATCTGTTTTAGGCGCGTGTCGAGTAACGAGCTTGTTATATTTTTTATTTGTATTAATGGTACTGAAAAAAAAAAAAATAAAAATAAATAGTCTGACAGGCAATTCGAAAAATATTTTCTGAACGTGCATTAATGGTAAGTAACGAGCTTGTTACCTTCGTCTCTTTCTCTAGGCGACAGCCATTCACTGATAATGGAACGAATTTAAGGCGATTTCCATGAGCGACACGTGTTCCCTGGATATAATTTTCGTATCGGCCATTAGGTCACGAAGAAATGAATGTTAGGCTTTTAGTACTTTACCGTTAGGACGTAGCGATGGTCTATTATTTTTTTGGTTCACTCTTTGGTTTTTGGATTTTATTATACACTCTCTACCGGAAATTCAATTAGGCGTGACGTAACAATTTCTAGTGTGATAAAAAAATATATTTTTCGAAAGATAAAAAAAATTTTGCAAAAATATTATTTCGGGGAAGGTCCGATACCAAAATTTTAGTAAATTCGTCATTTTTTTAATTCTTTGACAATTGTATGTATCAAGGTCATTTGCCAGGGACTGTCAATAGTTAATGATTAATTAGGGGTTGGTAATGGGGATGAATAAGTGGGTGGCTAGTTCACGTGAACTTGCTACGTAATGGTAGCGTCTTTGGGGGGTGTCGTGAGAGTGTACAGATGGGGGGTGGGTTCTCTAAGGTGATATAAACCACCCCCGTGGTTCCACGGTTCGCGTTCCACTAGGTACCTCTGGCTCTCGGACCATTTGTCAAGGTGACAGGGCAATCTCACCCCCACGCTAACCCACCCTTGAAAACTGGAAGCCTTGCTCCACCTGTCAACGGGACATCGATCAAAGCTGTTTTAAAATTGGAAATTCCGAGTTAATATCGAACTCGAAATCGACGGGGTTTATTCGTTGTCAATGTTAAATTGGCCCCTGGAACTGATAACTTGGCAATTATCCAGACGAAAATGGTTTTGCTTGGATTTCATTGTTGCCGGACCAATTTTTTTCCTCACACAGTTAATCGTCAAGTCCGTATAGGTCAAAGTTGAATGTCGACGGTCTATATCCATATAATGAAAATTCATTCAGACTCGATACATCCCTTTGTACGCGAAGCGTTTAAACTAGGAAACAAATTTTTATTGCCAAAAATTCAATTGAAATTTTTTTTTACAAATTTCTGTAAATCGTGTAAAAACGATCTGATTTAATTTTTAAACGTAACACGAACAGTAGAACTCGTACCAGGGTTTCGAACCAACATGTAATTCCATGTATTACGGAGGCAACATGTTCCTGAGGTAATGACAGTATTTAACCAGTCCACGAGGCTATGTTCCCATAACCTCGACGATACGGCAGGAGCCGTGATTCTTATGGAGTCCCATACGAGTCAAGCTTTTGGCAGGTGCTGCTTGGATTTCCCATAGAATACCGGCGCGTCATGTTAATTAAGGCTGGTTCACCTGCACCCTCGAATTCCCATGAAAACGAGACTGCTGGTCAGCACTGAGATTTTTTCAAACTAATATATACTTCAAGTAAAAAAAAAATGATATCTGTACAAATTATTAAAAACTTATCAAATTTTATATTTTACGAAAATAAGAAAGTAATACGACAAATAATACCTCTCGCGTAAGATTGATAGACGGCGAATCGAACGATACAAAAGATACGATGCAAATAAATAAATGGATAATAAAATACGAATTCTCAAAGTTTCTATAGGGTTCAAAGCCGAAGCAACCTCAGGGCTGTATCCCAATAATAAATCGCCCCTTTAATCACGAGTCGTTCACGCTCGAGTCATTTGGCTTAATGGTGGCCTGTTGTTTAGGCCGCAATGCGGTAGGTTGCAAAGTCAATTTTCACAATGGCGATGCCACCAGTCAAGTTTCCTTTAACCCTTTATCATTAATCAGCATACGTTAAAGATAACGATATGCATTAATAACGTCGATATTAAAAAAAATTTTATTTTCAATTAATTAATCCCGCTAATAATTTACAAATTACTTTTCCAATCGCACTGCTATCAAATTCTTATTCCTTTTTCCCACTGAACCTGTTACTGATAAAAAATTTCTAATCAGTGACAACACGGCTTCGTCCTGTCATCAGGGAATCAGTGCGAGTCCGTATACAGTAGTGAGCTCGTCCCGACACGGAGGTTCCGCGCCCTTCCGGTTCCGGTGTTCCGGTAGGCTTGTCTCTGCAGGGGGAACCTTACTTCCGTTTCAGGTGGGAAACACGCTCAGCCGAGCGGTATGATGCTCGCACGATCCACGGATCCCTGACTGTGACGTTTCGATGGGATATCCGGAGAAGCTATACAGATTCCGGAGTAACTTTTGATTTATATACCGACGCACTTAACTGATAATTAAATTTTTTTTTGGCCTAAAATCATGCGTATCAAAAATTGAATGAAAAAAAGTAAAAAAGAAAAAAAAACTAAAAATCTCTAAATTACATAAAAACATGTAAATCGAGTATACGAGTGACGTAAAGGATGGGCTAGGTAAAATTTTTAGGCGAGGCCTCCGGCCTGTAAATAAAAAGAAAAGCTAGACCGAGAGAACGATACAAAAATCAGTAACGGAAGTGGAAGTGGAACTGGAAGTGGAAATGATGACGGCGTGACGACGCTAACCAGGCTCGCTTATCGTTATATCGGCAGGCTCGTCGTTTCCGTAATTTCCTTTTCCATCGCCACTTTTCTAATGCACAGTTCCATACAGCTACAGGATTTAGGTACATTTAAGTGCTAACGCATTAGTTACATATACACTTT